AGAGTCACGTATTATTATAGTCATCGGTCACATTTTGGTCACAGATTTACAATTTAGTTAGTCACATATTATTTTTCGATCACAAATCATAATTTTTTATGTTACAAATTATTTTACGGTCATGACTCAAAAATTTTATAGGTCACAATTTGTTTATCGATCACAGATCAAAATTTTTGTAGGCCACAAATTATTTCGAGGTCACAAATCAAAAATTTTTATCAGTCACAATTTTTTTATCGATCACAAATCATAAGTAATACAAGTCACGACTTGTTAGACAGTCACAAATTATCGATTTCAAATTAACAATTTTTTAGGTCACATTATTTTTTTGTCACAATTTATTTCCTAATCATAAATTAAGAATTTTAAGTTCACGGTTATTTCTCGATCACGAATCAAAACTTTTATTAGTCACAACTCGATTATAACTTAATAAATTGAGTCACAATCACAATTTTTAGGCTACATATTATTTATTGGACAATTCTGCTTGTACAAAATATGTTGGCGGTCACAGACACCAACCCCCATCTCATTCCACTCACTACCACCGCCACGACACTGCACACAGTACCGCCATTAAAGACCGCCATTAAACACAACCACTGCACAACACTTGCGACCTACCACCACGCGAGGGTCACAGATCAAAACCACTGCACCACAACACCATCACCATGCACAGCACCACTGCCACGACACCACCACCGCACCCACATTATCACAGAACTCACCCAACCAGTGCACAACCGCCACAGCATCACAGTAGCACGCTACCGCCACCCCAACCCCATCTTACCATCACGACGCCACCAAATCCGGTCAAAGGCCAGATCGTCGCTATCGCACCCACAACATCACAGAACTCACCCAACCATTACACAACCACCACATCTACAGCATCATAGTAGCACGCCACCACCACCCCAACCCCATCTTACAATCACGGTTCTACCAGATCCGGCCAAAAACGATGTTTACAGCGAAATCATTCTCATTGTTTTAATAAATCTGGCATTTGTCTACATTTACAACGAAATCATCATTTCTTGGGCGAAGACGGCAGCGATGACGGCGAAGACGGGTTGTGTAGTGAGAGGAGAGTGGGAATTAATTAGGGTTTGAAGTATATATATTTAGTAAAAATATTTATTTTATA